TTATAACAAACATTAAAAGTTACAACATTTGGTTTATAAGGTAACAAGATCTCAAATAGGTGATTTATAATTGACTTTCCTGAATATTTCCCTTATATTCAAAGCTCTAAGATAATTCTGAAGATAGTAAATATATTGGTATACTGAGATGTCAGGTATAAATGACCTAGTTGGTCTTGTTACCTTGCCATTATTTTACAACCCACAGTTGATTCTTCAGTTAAGACACGAGATTCAAAAGACCAAATCACTCACTTAGGAAAAAAAAGGAGGGGGCACACAGAGTTGAACCACGGACCTCTCGATCTGCAGTCAAATGCTTTACCACTGAGCTATACCCCCATATGGTCAGCCTAGTGGCCAAGTGGTAAGGTGTTGGTCTTGTAAACCAAAGATCCAGGGTTCAAACCCCTGCTGAGCCTGTTTTTCACTTAGAAAAAACTAATATTTTCCAGTTCCTGTATGCAAAGCTGTACAATTTTTAAAAAATATTTTGAAAAAAAAAAAGGGCAAAATAAATAATCTCTATTCTTAAACTGAACTCTAGACTGACTACAGTGAAGGAATGTTAAGGAATCTTGGAATGTATACAGAAAGCTGCGTCAGCCGGATGGAATAATTTGGAAGTAACAATCAAAGAATGACAAAGAATCTGTGTAATAAACAGAAATTCCCTTCTAAACTGGTCTTAAAAGAGAATCAACTGTAAACACAAGGTAATAAGACCAAATCCAAATAAAGGATTTGGTCTTATTACCTTATGTTTATAATCTATAATCCAAATTGTGTCTTATCAGAATCAACTGTGTGCATTAAGATATATATATAAAATACCATTTACAATTATGAAATACAAAAGTAGCGCTTACAAAGAATTGCTAAAAAACTGCCATATATCACAAATACTCTGGTAATATATATATATAAAGCGCTAACATTTAATAAGTACACAGATAAACAAATTGCCAAAATAAATCATAATATAATCAAATACTGAAAAAATGCCAATGTATCCCAATATATATATATTTAACAACAATTCTGTGAGAGAATATATATATAAATACAATATATATTTACTATACTTACAATTATTATCATTTTTCACAAAAAAAAAAAAAGAATATTTGCATACATCATTTTTAATATAAGCAGAATCTGTAAATATACAAATAGGAAAAAATTTGCATACATAATATAGAAATGGTAAAACTTCATTCTTAACATTAATTGAGGGCCTTGGTCATTCATACTTAAGTACAGTATAGTATGATATACCATGAGAGAGAAATCAACAAAAACAAATTCAAACACTGGAGCACAATAAACAGATTCACATTACAAGTGGGAACATTAGAAAACTCAAGTTTAAAAACTGTATATAAGGAGAAAAATTTGTAAGTAAAAATAAATAATAAAGGGAGCCAAGATTTCATGTTTGGTATAAGCTAATCTACAACCAATAGAGACTGATTCTATCGCAGAAAAAGCACAAGCAACAGAATGCAGATTTTTTAAAAGAAAATAATAATAAAAGGTGACAAGACACAAATAGCCGAGTAACTTCAAGAAAATAAGACCTAATCCAAAAAAATTAATAGTATGTGACGTTTCGGTAACAACACTGTTACCGAAGCGTCACATACTATTTATTTATTTGGATTTGGGCTTATTACCTTATGTTTATAATCTATAATCCAAATTGTGCCTTTTTATCACCCAAGAAAGTTTAAAAAAAGATAATTTCCCACTTTACAAGCATTCACGGGCAATTCAAACATAATATCTATACTATATATATAGAAAGTTGGAATCCTCTGATGAGTATAAGTAAAAGATTTGAAGCGTACGAGGATACTTTTCTTTTGAACTTTAATAAAGATTCGAGAAGGGCTGTTTTCGCCCGAAAGCTCGAATCTTTATTAAAGTTCAAAGAAAAGTATCCTCGTACGCTTCAAATCTTTTACTTATACTATATATATATAAGGTAGAAAACTTTCATACACACACACAGGTAATAAACACAATTTGTTAAAAGAGGAAGAGAACAGTGGGCTGGAAAAGATGAAGATAGATGACAAAGAATGTTGAACATGAAAAACTGTTTAAAAACACCAAGATATTACATCTAAATAAATTGTAAATAAGAAAAAATATAGAATGAAACAGTAAAAAAAGTGTAAACTACCAAGTTGTTAATGGAAATGGTAAAGAATGTTAAGAAATTTTGTTCATACATCCTTGATGTGTTAAATGATAGTTGAACATCCAGACAGGTTCTGGGGTATCTTGGAATGTAGTTTAAACAAGAAGAAACAATCCACTGGCTAGAAAGATGATACAAAAGATGGAGCAATCAGAAAGTTGTGGCCAGGAGGGAAAAAATGGCCACCAGTCTGCTGAGGAAGCAGCTTTGGTTGTGAACGGGGGAAGAACATGGTGTCGAGTGGTGGTATCTCAGTTACCTATGGCACCGCTGGAACAACAACAATGGTTAGCAGGGCAGGACAAAGGCCATCCCTGTGTACTGATGAGAGCCAGAGTCAATGTAATACAGGTTCTATACAGGATGGTGGTTCATATTTTTAAATTAAATTGAATCAATATTTAGTTGATATTTATTCTGATGAATATCCTCAGGAGAATATAAGTAGAACTAACTCTATATTATCAAAAGAACAAAATCATCTACGGGTTGTCGAGGTCTACGAGGTCATCTACGGACAATGACTTTCCAGAATGGTTGCAAGGTTTTCCCACTATGTACTAAGTGCAATTCTCAACCTGCAACCCCAAAACACATTATTGTCTGTATTGACTCATCCATTGATGAGCTCTACTCGGCAGACACCATCAAAAGTCTCAAGCTCTACAAGCTTGATACCCTAATATGATTGAGTGGAGATAAGAAAGAAGAAGAAGAAAAGAACAAAATCGTGAGACGAGGAGCTTCTTATAAGCTTTCTCGAGCATTTCTGCCCTTCTACAAGAATAAAATATATTCTCATTTTTACTCCTGTAAAAGGGCAGAATTACCAGCTAAAAAAAAATACCCTTACAAGAAACTTTTCCTCTCACTATTTTGTTCTTTAGATAATATACTGCTCCAGGTGATTATATTCAACATAAGAACTAAATCTCTGTGAAAGACAACACCTAGTAACATAGACAAAGTATATTTTAGATATCCTCTTCCTGGAGAGAAGTAGCTAATTGTTAAAAATAGTGTATTATAAATAATTCTGGCGATTGAAACTGTCCTATATAGAGAGAAGTCCACTAGTGGGAATACCGGTTCATGGAGGTACCTACTGTACCTTTGTGTCAACAAGAACAATGAGCTCGAGGAGCATGAACTCATGGAATTCGTGCAAGCTTTACACAAGGGGATAAGAAACAACAACAATGATAAGTTGCAGTAGACCCACCTAGTGCGGTGGTGCCACCATCTTGTAGAGCACCAGCACTGCGGCTGCCAGGGTGAGCAGGAGCTGAGGATGGACAGAGCTGCCACTTAGCTGCACACACACACATTGGTCAAACCACATCTCTTAACACAATTGTCAGTGCCAAAGGATTCAGAGTACACAAGTTCTGCTTCTTTCCCCCAACAACACTTCATTTCTTATTCCAATCTCAATGGTAGTAGAAAGATCAGATTCAGTTTATTCAATCAGTGTAGGTTCTATTTTCCATTTTATTCTTTTATCTGATGATGGTAACAATGCTGTTATCGAAATGTCACACATTATTCATTTATTTGGATTAGGTCTTATTAAGCGTAGGTTCTATTTGGAATTAACTTTGAAATGTGTTATCAAGCACCACCATCAACATGGAGGTGGTTTACTGTCATTTTTGACAACTAAGACCCATATTTGAGAAACCTATTTTGAAGCTTTTTTTTTTTTTTATATATTATTTTCATGACTCACAATTCCAATCATGCACAAGTCCAACTCTACAAATGACCGACTATAACTAAAGATTCTTGTAAATACAAGAGTCAAATAGCTTCTTCCAGAAACTATATTAGAGCTACTAGCTAACAACATAGTGGTATGGAATTAGTGTAGCAGCCCCTTGTTTCTGCCATTGTTTGACCAGCAGTCTGGAAGCTAAGTCCTAGCTGTGGACACACAACCTCAGAAAATCCTCCAAATACAATTGTTTGAAACCAATCTGTATACATTAGACAATCCACTTACTAACAAAACATTACTCTTTTTTTATTTCAACAACAAGGTAATAAAACCAAATCCAAATAAATAGTGTGTGACATTTCGGTAACAGCATTGAGATTTAATCTTTTGTTTGATGATAGTAACAAGGCTGTACCAAAACATCACACACTATTTATTTATTTAGATTTGGTCTTATTACCTTGTAGTTCTAATCTATAATCCAAATTGTGCCTTATCAAAATTTGAAATAGATTTCTGAACATCTTTGGTACAAATATATTTTTCTGAATATAGAGCAATCTATAATATTGATGAGGCTGAAGTGGGGATATAAAACTCAATTTATTGGTAGGTTGCAGTACATTGTCCTGGTGGGCTATGGTCACCATGACCCGTTCCAGGGCTGGGCTTGTGGTCCGGTTCTGGAGGGTTGTTGAGGTCCGATTCTCTGCGGTATAGCCGTTGGGAGGGTTAGATCTGGTACAAGACATCTTTCGTTCGCCGGGCAAGGATAAAAAGAAAAATAATAAAAATAGCACGAAGGTCAAACGATAACTGGCACGTTGTATTTGTAAGCATTCCGCGAAAACGCCGGTCCGTGGTCAAATACAACTTGTGCCTGTTATCTCTGTGGTGCCGTTTCTCTGATAAATAAACAAAATTTAAGATAATTTTGCAACGTCACGTGTATTTCCGGTCGGTTGCTTGTTGACACACAACACCACCCCCCCTCTTATCTTAGACTCGGTCCCTCGAGTCGCCGTTATCTTTCTAGAAATTCCTTAAGTCTCGACACGTGCGCTAACGTGCTCTGGCGCCTACTATTTTCGTTGCGTCCGTCCTGTGGTCGTAACCTATATGTCGTTTCCTTGATTCTATCCGTTATTACGTACGGTCCTACGTATTTCGGCAGAAATTTCTCCGTTTTCCCTGGTTTCCTGCGAGACGACTCCAGTAGTACCAGGTCGCCCACTTCAAACTTCCGGAAGCGGTCACGGTTCGCAAGGTCATACTGACACTTCGTCATCATTGTCCGGTCTCGGTAGTTTTCGTCGGCAATTTTCTTTAATCTCTCGTTTTCTAAAATGCGGTTGGTCACGTATTCGTCGTAAGTTTTTACTGGCTCGTCGACGGTTGGTAGTCCTACGTCTAGGGACG